CCGCGAGCAGCAGCATCATGGTGACTCTAGGAGCAGGACCCTCAAACAACCAAGTCTTATGGGGCACTAGCTTGGGGAACAGCAAAGCACCCTGCCAACCGAGGTAAGACATATCCCCTTGACTTACTGGGCAAACGAAACATTGACCCCTTTGGCCCAACTAGCTAGCTGAAATTTTGTGCCCTTGAAAGGCAGTCATGATGCCCAGCCAGTAAGCCGTAGGCCACATCGAGAGCTCGCGTGTTGTTTAGTGCGGTCAGGAGGTATTGTAACTCCGCGGAGGACACTGACTGTCCACCCCAAAAAGAGTGATGCGAAGAGACTCACCCGTATGCGAGTGAAGAATGAATCAGGACGTTGGATTAGTCTGGATTTCAAACCACCAAGTTTCGCATGACACAGACTGACTAAATACCGCCAATGAATCATGCCCCAAACATGTTAATATTATTATTAACATAGGCCATCTGTATGGCCTTCAATTACTTTATGCTGCTTTAACTACCTTTCGCCACTCTGTACTGGCCATTGGCCCCTGTACCCTACCCCGCCTTCCTCATAGCTGCTTGCCAGGTCCGATAGAGTGTGTCATGGGTCCCTGTAGTACGGCCTCGCCATTGCATGCTGTCTCCATCGCCACAATCTCTGCCATGTGCCACATTCATGTCTCCTCACCACTGCTAGGAGGGTTCCATTTGTGATCATAGGGTGCAGGCAGATTAACGGGCCTCACCAATTGCTGCTGGCCAGTGCCCGTACTCTGCCATGTGGTCCCCCGTACCGACTCCCTCATGCTGGCTGCCAATATGCCCGTAATCTGTCAATGGGGCACCCTGTACACCGCCCTCCTCACATAGCAGCTTGCCGAGGTCCAGAGTGTGTCAATGGGTCCCTGTACGCCATCACCATTGCTGCTGCGTCTAAAAAAATCCACCGCCACATCTCCTGCCATGTGCCACATTTCAGTCTCCTCAACACCACTGCTGGTGGTTCCATTATTTCGTCATACGGTTGCTGGCAGAATTACTGGCCTCCACATTGCTGCTTATCCGCCTAGGCCCGTAATCTGCCATCGGCCCCCGTAACCGACTCCTCATAGCCTGCTGCCCAGGCCCGTAATCTGTCATGGGCCCCTGTACCCCAGCCTCCTCATGGCTGCTTTGCAGGTCCAGAGTGGTGACATGGGTCCCTGTACGGCCATCCCATAGCCTTTGCTGTCTTCCATCGCCACACTCTGCCATTGTGCACTTTTCAGGACACCTCACACTGCTGGTGGGTTCCAATTTTGTCCATAGGGTTGTCTGGCAGATTACAGGGCCTCCCCATTGCCCCTGCTAGCCAGGCCCCCGTAATCTGCATGGGGTCCCCCGTACCAGACACTCACTCCTGCTGCTGTCCAGGCCCGTAATGCTGTCATGGGCCCCAGTAACCGCCCGCTTCCTCATTCCTTGCTGCCCAAGGTCCAGGAGTGTGTCATGGGTCCCCCCTGTATCGGCCTCCCCATTGCTAGCTAGTCTCCGATCGCCACACTCTGCCATGTGCCACTTTCAAGGTCTCCTCACACTGCTGGTGGGTTTCCATTTGTCATAGTGGGTGCTAGGGCAGATTACGGGCCTCCCATTGCTGCTGAGCCAGGGCCCCGTAATCTGTCCATTGGGCCTCCGTACCAAACATCCTCATCAAATCTGCTAGGCCATGGCCGTAAAAGCTGTCATGGGGCCCCCTGTACCATCCCGCCAACCACATGTCTGCTGCCCTATGCTCCAGAGTGTGTCATGGTGATCCCTGTAAGCGGCCCTCGCCAATATGCTGCTGCCATGGAGGCACGTAATCTGCCAATGGGCCCACCGTCATGACCTGGACTTCCCTCATGCTGCTGCCAGGTGCCCGTAATCTCCTGTCCAATGGGCCCCTTCTACCTCTAACCACACTAAAACCCCCGCCCTCCTCATGCTGCTGCCCAGGTCCCATAGTGTGTCATGGGTCCCTGTCTACTGTCCTCCCATTGCTGCTGTTCTCCAACGCCACAACATCCTGCCCATGTGCCACTTTTCAAGGTCTCCTCACACTGCTGGTGGGTACCATTTTGACATAGGGTGCTGTTATGGCCTCTCCCAATTGCCACTTGCCAGGCCCGTAATCTGCCATGGGCCCCCCCGTACCGACTCCTCATGCTGCTGCCAAGGCCCGTAATCTGTCATGGGCCCCTGTACCACCCTGCCAATCCTCAATGCTGCTGCCCAGAAAGTCCAGAGTGTGTCATGGGTCCCTGTACAGGACCTTCCCATTTCATGCTCGTCTCCAATCTGCCAATACTCTCTGCCATGGTGCCACTCCTTCAGGTCTCCTCAACAACACTGCTGGGTGGGCTTCCTATTTTGTCATAAGGGTGCTGGCAGATTACGGGCACTCCCCCATGCAGCTAGCCAGGAACCCGTAATCTTATGCCATTGGGCCCCCGTAACCGAGACTTCCTCACTCGCAGCCTTGCCACAGGGCCCGTAACATCTGTCAATGGGCCCCTGTAACCCCCTACCGCCTCCTCATGCTGCTCGCCAGGTCCAGAGTGTGTCATGGGTGTCCCCCTGTACGGCCTACCCAATTACAGCTAGCCAGGCACGTAATCTGCCAAAGGGCCCCCGATACGGACTACCTCATAATGCAGCTGCCAGGCCCGTAATCTGTCATTGGGCCCCTTAAATACCCACTCTTTCCCGCCTCCTCATGCTGCTTGCCAGGTCCAGAGTGTGTCATGGAATCCCTGTACGGGCCGTCCCATTGCTGCTGGTCTCCATCGCCACCACACTTTCTGCTATGTGCCACTTTTCAGGTCTCCTCACACTGCTGGTGGGTTCCATTTTGTCATCAAGGGTGCGTGGCAGATTACGGGCCTCCCAATTGCTGCTGCCAGGCCCCGTATCCTGCCCATGGGCCCCCCGTACCCGAAACTCCTCATGGCTGACAGACGTACCAAAGGTCACCGAATTCAATCCTGTGCGCATGGACCCCTGTACAGCACGAAAACCCTGCCTCCTCAAGCTGCTGCCAGGAACCAGAGTGTGTCATGGTCCCTGTGTACGCAGCCTGTCACCATTGCTGCTGCAGTCCATCGCCACACCTGCGCTGCCACTGTGCCACTTTCAGGAGGCCACCCTCACGTGAACTGCAGGGACTCTTTGGGATAATTCCATTTTGATCAACGGGTGCTGGCGGATTAACGCTGCCTCCCATTAGCTGCTTGAGCCAGGCCCCGTAAACTGCGCACATGGGCCTCCCGTACACCCACACGTCCCCTGCATGCTGCTTGCCAGGCCCTGTAGAATCTGTCTATGGCCCCTTTAGAACCGCCTCCTACATGCTGCAGCCCTAAGGTACAGGAGTGAAGTACATGGGTCCCTTGTACGCGGCTCTTCCCATTGCTGCTTGGACTCGTAAGTCGCCCACAGGACTCTGTCATGGCCCACTTTATTCAGAGGTCTCCTCCTCACACTGTCCTGTAGGTTCCATTTTGTCATAAGGGTCTGGCAGACTTATAGGCGAAAAAGGGGCCTACCCCTTTGCTGCTGCCAGGCCCGTTAATCTGCCATGGGCCCCCGTACCGACACTACCTACCGAATCATGCGTGCATCTCGCCAGGCTCCGAAATACTGTCATGGGCCGCCTGTATGAACGCCTCCCGTCACATGCAGCTGCCCAAGGTCCAGATTGTGTCATTTGGTCCCTGTGAGACGGCCTCCCATTGTCTTACTGCCAGGCCGTATAAATCTGCACTATGGTCCCCCGTAACGGACACCTCATGCTGCTGTCCAGAGCCCGACAATCGCTCAAGGTCACTGTGGGGCCCCAGTCAGACCGCCACCTCATGCTGCTGCCAATGTCCAGAGTGTGTCATGGACTTCCCTGTACGGCTCTCACTATTGCTGCAGTGTCTCCATCAGCCACAGACTACTCTGCCTATGTGCCACTTTTCCAGGTCTCCTTTCTCCTCCCACTGCTGGTGGGTTCCATTTTGTCAAGGTGTGCATGCAGATTACGGGCCTCCGACATTGGCTGCATGCTGCCAGGCCCGTAATCTGGCCATGGAGCCCCTGGACCCGACTCCTTCATAGCTGCTATCCTACCAGGCCCTAAATCTGTCATGGGCCCCCTGCCAACCGGAGCCGCCTCAATTCCCTTGTTGCTGGCCCAGGGCCATAGTGTGTCATGGGTCCCAGTAACTAGTGCCTTCCCATTGCTGCTGACTCCATCTCCTCCAATGTCCCCGCGCCACACTCTGCCATGTGCCCACTATTCAAGCATCTCCTCAGGAGGCACTGTTTAGTGCGGTGGAGTTCCATTTTTGTCATAGGTGCTGGCAGATAGACACGAGAGGCCTCCCATTGCTGCAGTGCCACGTTTGTGCCCTGGAATCTGCCATTGCGGCGCATTGAGTTCCGACTCTCATGCCACAGGTGCGTGACCCTGCCCGTAATCTGTCCATGGCCCCTGTAACCGCCTCCTCATCTGCTAGCTGCCAGGTCCCAGATGTGTGTCATGAGGGTCCCTGTACAAACGGTCCTCCCATTTGCTGCTGCCAGGCTTACCGGCAAATCTGCCATGGGCCCCCGTACCGACTCCTCATGCTGCTTGCCAGGCCCGTAATCTGTCATGGACTTGCCTGAGGCCCCTGTACCGCACTACCTCATAGCTGCTGCTTGCCAACAGGTCCAGAGTGTGTCATGGGTCCCCTGTACGTGCCTCCCATATGAGCAGCGTCTGTCTCCATCGCCACACTCTGCCATGTGCCACTTTTCAGGTCTCCTCACCACTGCTGGTGGGTTCCATCTCATATGTGACATAGGGTGCTGTATGGCCTCCCATTTGCTGCTCGCCAGGGCCCGAATCTGCCATGGTCCCCCGTAAAACGACTCACCTCAAGCTGCTGCCGAAGGCCCTTAATCTGTCATGGGCCCCTGTACCTTCGCCTCCTCATGCTGCTGCCTAGGTCCAGAGTGTGTCATATGGGTCCCTGTAACGTCCTCCCATTGCTGCTGTCTCCATCGCCACACTCTGCCATCGTGCCACTTATCAGGTCTCCTCACACCTGCTGGTGGGTTCCATTTTTTGTCATAGGGTGCTGGCAGATTACGGGGCCTCCCATTGCTGCTGCGGCCAGGCCCTAAATCTGCCATGGGCCCCCGTACCGGACTCCTCATGCTGCTGCCAGGCCCGTAATCCTGTCATGGGCCCCTGTACCGCTTTAAACCCGCGCTCCTATATATGCTGCTGCCAGGACCAGACTGGTGTCATGGGTCCCTGTCACGGTCTCCACCCATTGCTTTCGCTGCCGAGTACCCGTAATCTGCCATGGGCCCTCCGATAATACCGACCTCCTCATGCTGCTGCCAGGCCCGTAATCTGTCATGGGCCCCTCTACAAAACCGCGCCTCCTCATGCTGCTAGCCAGGTCCACAGAGTGTATCATTGGGTCCCTGTACGGACCTCCCATTCTGCTGCTGTCTCCATCTCCCACACTCTGCCATGTGCCACTTTCAGGTCTCCTGCACACACTGCTGCTGGGTTCCATTTTGTCATAGGGTGGCTGCAATTGGCCTCCCCATTGCTGCTGCCAGGCCCCTTAATCCTGCCATGGGACGCCCCGTACCGACTCCTTCATAGCTGGCTTGCAGCCAGGCCCGTAATCTGTCATGGGCCCCTGTACCACCCGCCTCCTCATGCTGATGCCTTAGGTCCAGAGTGTGTCATGGTCCCCCTTACGGCCCTCCCATTGCTGCTGTCTCTTCCATCGCCAACACTCATGGCAACTGCCACATGTGCCACTTTACAGGTCTCCTCACACTGCTGGTGGGTTCCATTTTGTCATAGGGTGCTGGCAGATTACGGGCCCATCCCATTGCTGCTGCCAGGCCGGGCTAACCCTAATCTGCCATGGGCCCCCGTACCGACTCCTCATCTGCTGCTGCCAGCCCGTAAATCTGTCATGGGCCCCTGTACCGCCTCCTCACGTGCTGCTGGCCAGGTCCAGTGAGTGTGTCATTTGGGTCCCTGTAGTACAGCCTCCCATTGTTGCTGCAGATGCCCGAAATCTGCCATGGGCCCCGTACCGACTCCTCACATGCTGCAGTGGTGCCAGGCCCGCACTTTCAGGTCTCCTCACACTGCTGTGTGGGTTCCATTTTTTCATAGGTGCTGGTTGGCCTCCCATTGCTGCTGCCTCCACCACCACACTGTGGCTCCACACTCTGGTTTTGGCCCCATGACTGCCCAAATGAGTGAAGTGTGCGGTGATTCTAAGATCGACGGCACTCATCTGCATGTCATACTGACTGACAGTATTATTTCTCTTCCCCAGCAGACTCCAAGGGCATTTAAATTAAAGGTACAGTGTTCTGCACTAATATAAAGGCTCTCTGAAGCCTAGAAGAAACACCCTTTTTTATAAGTTAAATTCGCAGCGAATATATTCGACTCGAATCAAATTTATTCCGCGAATTCGCCGAATCAGCCGAATCAAATTTTTGAATAATTCGCTCATCTCTAATGGTAAGTTTAAATCAACAGCCACCAGGCTATAATTGAGAATAAGAAACAAACCATTCACACAGTGTCAGTTAGTGCAATTTCAGGAGTTTCAGGATCTCATAGCCCATAGAACAAAAAATACCTTATAAAACAAAACAAATTTGAAACCATGCAAATATTATTAAATATAGTTCACAAGGTCTTTTTAGAGATGGGAAAATCTGCTTGGGTTCCATTTAGGGGCAGGTGTGAAGAACATGTTCAAAAATCTACTGATTTTAACTTTAATGTGAACCCCATTGAAGTTAATGAGAGGCGAATTCTGAAAATCAATTGTCTCCATTTTTAAGGCTGGAGATTGTAAGTGAGCATGTGGAGTTAGGTACTGCCAGGGGCACCTGTATCAATGCAAAAATGTTTTTGATGGGAAGCAGCTCTTTTAATTAGGCTTAAAGTGAAACATTAAAAATGCACAATTTGTATAAAGTACATGCTTGTGAAATGCCTAAAACCTGTCTGTGATGCTGTATACCTGTGAGATGTACTAAGGAAAAAGGGACAAGAAAAAAAAATGCCACTAAACAACATTTATCTTCCATACTTTTTATTTGTAGATTACTAGCAAGAGAACAATACTGATATTCGATAGATCAAAAACAAACTTAAAGATCTGGAGATGTTTAGCAGACAGAATAAATTGAAATGCAGAAGGATCCTAGTATCAATTAAACAGCAGGGGTATATTTCATATCTCCAGCAGATTTTGAAATTTCTGCTCCCACTTCAACAGGAGCAGGATTGTATCATACACAGGGCACATACAGTAGAATCATCAAATCAAAATTTCTCTCTGATTCTGTACCTGGAGACATGCTAGTCAGAATCCACTTTTTCATATAAAAGACAGAGCGATTACAGCAGCATGCATAATGGGGAAACTACCAGATCCTTTCACTAACATCTCTTTCTAAGCTGACATATCGGCATCTGTGTTACAAAGTACATAACAATTTTTCAAGGTCAACACAGCCCTCCATGAGCAAAAGAACTCCAATGGGGACAGACCACTACATTACTAACCAATCACCAGGGAAGAAGACAGTCCCACAGGAGGTGCTTAGATAATTCAAAGAAGGACTTTACCTTTTTCTCAAAAACTCGTGTTGGCTTGATATGTTCCTAATGGACAAATGCACATTGCAGTATGTAAATAAAGCCCATATTGGGATTTAAACTTGGCCCAATTATGCCTCAATCTCCCTATTACTCTGGACCAAATGATGGACCACTCAAGCCCATTGAGAGCAAACACCAGTGTTTTACATAATCCAATCCATGAACAACATATCAAAGCTAAAATTGAAGAATCCTTTATATGCCATTCAGAGTCAGTTGAGACATTCAAAACAATGGTCTTATCAGACTTGGGACACAACAGAACCATAAGAGGAAATGACTAACTACAGATCTTTCCAATTTCCGCTATAGAGGACCTAAATAAAAAGCACAAATACATTTCACAACAGTTAGAGGACTTAATATACCTAATGTAGCCACTTCTCAGCTTGCAAAACTGTCCTCTCCATTGCATAAATAAAAGCAACCATCCATAAATAACCCCAACACAAGGTCCTGGGCCAGATGGCTTTAATAACAAATATTTCAAAACCTTTAAAAGCATATACTGTATAATCACATTGCTAAAACTACTTCATTTCCAAAAGAATCCCTTAAAGTCCTGATAGTTATCAAAGCTAAACCTGACAAGACATCAATTCTCCCTGCCAACTATTACCCAGTCCCTCTGCTCAACACACACACATAAAATGTATGCAAAAAATAATATATCATGCATAGAAGGTATGCTCCCTCAGCTGGTTCACCCTGACCAGGTGGGGTTTGTGAAGGGCTAACAAACTTCTAATGGGATGAGATGCATATCAAACCTAATACAATGGACAAATAACAGTCACATATATTTTCTCTGTTCTTTTTTCTTTGGATGCAGAGAAGGCATTAAACTGAGCACACTGACACTATGTGCGCAAATTCCTCATTAATTTTTGCCTTAGAGGCTGCATAGGTATGGCCATCCATGCCCTGTTCCCATCTGCTAGCAATACAGTTTTCACCTTAGGGCTACTCTCTTTTTGATATTACTAACAGTATCAGGCAAGGGTGCCCTCTCTTACCTGTAATGTTTGCACTCATAAAAGCACCACTAGCAGAAGCTCTAAGGTAACATTCAAAAATATCAGGATTTCAAATCAGTGGTGTAGAACACAAAAGTGGTCTCTATAAAGACAATATTAAGCTACCCTTAACATCCTATCATGTCATTGTTGATGGTCCAACAACTGGTAAAAAGTTTTGGACATATTGTTTTTTAAAGGGTCAATGTCTCCATGTCCCATATGCTAGGTATTGTCATACTCCAGAAACTTAAGGCTGTGATATTTACCTAGTTTCTCCTCTTAGGGATAAAACTATCTTCACCCAGTGCACATCTCTTACAGCACAACTATGAGGCCTTCCTACGCAAAAGTTGCTTAGCAGTGTAAAGATTTAATGAACACCTGGTTTCATGAGCCAGCAGAATTTTGGAGGTGAATACAGTCTTCCTCCAAAACATAATATACTTGTTTCAAACACTCCCTATATTCCTGCCCATATCATACCTCTCTAAGCTGCAATCAGCAATCATCTACATTAGAGGAAAAAGAGAACTAAATTAAAAAGGTTTATTATTTAGAGTACTATGGAAACAGCTATAATGGGAACCCCTAATGTTACCAATACTATTGTGATGCAATATTTGACCAGCTAAAATATTTGCGGACCCCTATGAGAGATAAACAATGGGCTACAGATCGAATAGACTCTGCTAAGTTATAATGCCCGGAGTTTGCTTTGGCAATCCTCCCAGGTTACTAATCTAATCATCCTTTCTTATTTTCCTCCATGGAAGCAGCTACTAATGTTTGGAAATCTGTACACAGCTTTCATACAAAACCTCCTATGCTAATGTAACTTCACAGTCAGTACTTCAACATTGACCAACTGTTGGATGGAAACATACTTAGCACCTTCCAGGGTTTACGACAAACATGATTTTCCTAACAGGAACATTTATAAATACTTGCACCTCAGAAGTATTCTACTTTTAATACCTCTGAAAGAATATCTTCTATCCAGTAAGGTTCTCTCTTACTGTATGTGAAATTTCAAACAATGTAAAGGCATTTCCTTTTTCTACTGTAAACTTATTCACCCTCTACAAATGGAAAAAACTAATTTCAAGCGACTCTAGGAGGAGGATCCAGCACAAACATTTCATGCCTCTCGATTTGCTAACATTTCCCATACGTGGTGGAGAGACTGGTGAAATTTGGTAGACCTGCACTAAGATCCTTTTATTTTGGAAATGTGCTTTTGCTTCTCTTCTGTCACAGAACTTGATATCAAAACAGACCCTGCACTGGCCCTACTTCTTTTAAACACAGATCAATGGCCAAATAAATCCCTAGCATTCCTCTGACACTGTCTGATAGCTGCTAGAAAAACTATAGCTATGGCCTAGAAACAACAATACTCCTTGGATAAGTCATTGTTCCTAGATGCTATTATTGCACAGACACAATTTAAGCCTAATTTTCACCAAAAGGAAATAATAGGTGGGACACTTTTTGGAAAGAGTGACTGTACATTACATTATAGTGGCATAACTCGCATCTATTGAGTATACTCCCAAAGTGTTTTTCTCCTACCTAGCTAGTGCACTGCCCAATGTTATATACTACAACCCCTATTACTGTACATACCTGTTAATTTGGATATAATAATTTCATGGCTATCATATCCAAAAAACCTTTTCAGATGGAGTTGACTTATTCTTTTGGATATTTTCATATTCCTGATGTGCTGTTTTCTTTAACATTCATCTCTTCCCCTTCCTTATATTGTTGAATACTTAACCTTACATTGTTCTCTTTTTGCCTGCTGATACGCATGTAATTACATCATAGGTGACTACAGTGTTCTACATATTGTATACTAAGCAGCTTCTCCCTTAGAGTGTTTATCTATTCTTTACAGTATATATAACAGTATCAAAACTGAACAAAACTTTAAGTTTAAAAAAAATCCACAATTCCTTTAAACAGTCTTGGAGGGTGTCCTAAACCTGCTTGGTGTACCCAAGCAAAAGTGACATTTACAAGGGAAAAAAATTCAATTTAAATTGCTGGCCATTAAAAGACATTTCCTGAATGCATTGTTCTGTTTGTACACAAAGTAGCCAGGGATTCCTTTCATCTAGGAGAGCATGAAAATAGGTTGGCCGCACTTCAACGTTGTTGCAGATAAAACATAATTTATTGAAATCTCCAAGGAAATTGCAATACAGGCATGACAGCTCCCACAATGGACAAAGAACAGTAAATGCATTTCACACAAACATGCTTAGTCATTACTTCCCTTCATCTATACCAGACACTTATCCTAGATAAAGTTTTGGTATGAATTGTAACCCCACAAAAAATGGTGTGGGGTTTCCCCTAAAAATACATACAAGATTGTTATCCTTGGTAAGGATCTAGTGTGAATATTAAAACAAAAAGAAAGCATGGGGTCCTCTTCACAATCCATACCAGGAAAGGGAGGAAGTGAGCATGTGTCTCCCTTCTTGAACCATTCAAGGCCACATGCCTTCAACATGGAAAGGGTACCTTGCCAGAGGGTCCCTCCTTGCAAAAAAAACCCTTTCCCACATTCATAGCCTGATGGAAATGGAGGTCTGCTGGGCAACTTATCAGAATCTGGGAGCCCCTTTAAACCCCTGGTTACTAATTCACAAAAGAAGATTATAATATAAATAGGCAC